TAAGTAGCTCAGCTACTCGAGCAACTGTCGTGGTTTTCCCCAGCCCACGACAGTTGTAACTGATGATACTCATTGAGCTGGACGGCCCTGCTCTTTAGCAGGGTCCGCCACTTCTCCATCCATATTCATTGGTTTTCCCACAGTGTTAATCAGAGTCTCCTCTTTATCAAAAGTGAGCACTTTAGCACTTTTGGTCTGGATTTTTTGCATCTCCTTCTCCTAAATCAGCCTCTGTGCATTCATTTTCTATCCTCTTTTGTGGTGTGATATGAGTTTTAGCTTGAATCCTTGGCACAGATTGCTCATGCCTTCTCCACACTCTATTCATACTCCTTTTCATTGGCCAGGTGTTGTTTGTGCCTAGTACAAACTGATGTAAGGCACCACCCTGACCCATCTTTGCTGAGGTAGGAACATATGCAGTCCCCTCTGTCCCTTGCTGCTGTGATTTCATACCAGTACCTATCAGCCTTTCTTCATTCTCCTTATGAGTTTGGGGGTCCTTCAGGTTTCCTCCCATAGCAGAAGGAGGCACCATGTTTCCTTCTTCCCCTCTTTACCAGACTCCTTTCCTACTCTATTCCCTGTTTCCTTGTCCTCTGGAAGCATCTTTTCATTTTTTGATATAGTTTCAGGTTCTGCCATTTCTTCAGAAGGTGCTCTCTCTCCACAAGAATTGGAGCTTACACTTTCCATGTCAAATTTTTTTCTCAGAGACGCCCAAAGCTCAGCATCCTCCTTCTTGATGAATGTGATAGCCAGTTGTGAGGTCCAGGAGGGCTTGTTCCGAGATCCATACCAAAAGGGTCAGGCACCAAACCTGATGGCTTAGGACACCTCAGCTTTGGATGTCCTATTCGCCCGCAGGAGTAACAAAACATTGGAAGTTTCTCATATTTTACCAGGTAATCCACCAGTTTCCCTCCTATATTCAGTTTGATTTTTTCTTGAGAGGGTTGTTGATGGATATGCTGACTTGCATGCGCATATATGTATCCCACATGGTTCCAGAACTGTCATCGAACCATACCAGAGACCCAAATCTGTTTGCTATCTTCTCTGCCATGTTCTGAGTCCTTAACTTAGCAGGGAACTCTTTAATTTGAATCCAAATATCGATCATATGTAGTGCTTCAGGGGTAGGTTTCTTGATAAGCAAGCTAGATATGGAAACCCTGATGTTGTTTTCATAATGTCAGGGGCCTCCAAAGCAGACCTTGTTCCTGTCATCCAGATCCAAGAACTGGAATGCAAACAACATGTTTCCCAGGTCAGTGATCTGGAAGCCTTTCTTTAGATTCCAGGCCTTAGCCAAAGCTATTTTCAAAGATTTGATGTTTGGTTGTTTATCAGCTAGCAGGCGGCCAATCAGTCTGAATTATCTGACAGCCTCCATTCGAACTACATCTACATCGCCATCCTCAACATCCAATGGCGTATCATCCTCATCCTCCAAGGTTATCTTGTCCATATCTATTTCCAGACTCTCAGCCGTGCTCCGCAGTTCTTCAGGTTCCAAGTTGGGACCCTCCTTCCTGTTTCCAACAGGCACCATCTCCTCCATTGTTTCGCTCAGTGCTCAAGTAGCAGACCAATTGGTTGCAGTAGTTGAAAAAAACTTGGGGTTTAGGGTTTGATTTCCTCGCGTTTCTGTTTCTTCAGAAAGCTCCTTCAAAACTCCTTTATATAGATGTAAACTCCAGTACCAAGTAGATATATCTCTTTGCCAAGAACCTCTAACCCTTCTGGGAGAAGAGATCATTTTCCGAAGTAATCAAAAACCTCAATCGCCTCGGAAAACCTAGGAAAACCCTAGCTCCGCCGCTCCGCAACTCTCGCTAAACGAGAGAAATTACCAAAACTCCTCCATTCCTAAACTTAAACATAAACCCAAAACGAAAAACAAATTAACAAAGTCCAAAAAAACTTCAAGGCATATCTTAACAAATTCCCACATTGACTTGAATTTTATCTCAAATACGAGTAGCAACAAAAATGGTCTAACGTATCCAGATGCGTTGACATAGCCAAATGTACCCAAATACTAGAATATCCAAATTATCCATTATCATAAAGTATTCTACATGACAATCCTAACATGAACCTTCATTCCGTTAGTGTGGAAAGTTAGTGGTAAATGGTGAAAGAGTTTATCACTCTGATATGTTAGCTCACTTGAGTTTATTTGAAGGTGGAATTATATTCACATATTATTTCAAATAACAAAAAGAATTATCTTACAGGTTACAATCCCAACTATTTTAGAGAGAGTAATATTCACTATCCATCCTAAATTTGATCCGTTGTCATCCTATTCAATTAGGAAAAAACAGATATATCTGCCCTACCTAGTTGTCACCTAGACCGCGAGTCCCAGGGGCGTAGTCTATATATATATATATATATTTACTTTTATTAATAGATCATCAAGACAAGTGACTACCTTCAATGCAGTTAGAGTCTAACTTCTATTTATAAGCGAAATGATGGATAAAAGCGTCATCTCAAAAGCGAAGTGTAAAAGCGTAAGTTTTTATAGAAATTTCTAACCATAACTTTTATTTTTTCAAAATATAAATAAATAAGTGAACTAGCTTATATATTAAAAACTACTCTCACAAAAATAAACTAAATTAATAGACTTTTAAACAAGTATTCACTGTCTTCCTCCTACTTTTGGTGGAAAAAAATAAGAAGATATACCAACGGCAAAGGATGAAACTATAGCGGTTGTAGGAAAAATTCACTAAAACGTGAAAGTGACGACAAATAGGAGGCTAAAAGAGACGATCTTTGATTACAACATAGTCACAAGGGTAGGAGTGCATTGATCAGAAATGATACTAGTGGCAGAGAAAAAGATGAGAATGGAGGAGAAGTGACAATGAGTAGGGATGAGGAACTCACGAACGAAAGATTGAAACGATAACACGACTTAAAAAAAATTGCTTCATTTTTCGAGAGCATACCGCCCTGAACTAAACCAACATAGAGACCGTACCAAACCGACCAAATATAACGCGGTTTGGTCCATGGTCGTATGAATTTTATGAGTAGTGAAGGAAAATCTGTCTGATTGGTATTTGACCCGGACCAAAGTAGACCGCGCTGGACCGATTGCTATATTGGGTCGGTCATTGGTCCTATTTTCTTATACTTTTGGACCGCGGTTCTCAAGGTTTGGTATGAACCAAAGCATTGCACAGCCCTACCTACAATATTGTTCTAATACCCAGATATCAAAGGCCTAAAAAGGCGATTCAAAAGCTAGCTTCTAGGCTTTTACTAGGCTTGAACGCTTTTGATGCAAAAAGTGTTTTGAACAAAAGTTATAATATTTGGTTGGTCTAAATCATAAAATAATAATTGTTTACACCAAAATATTTTCTCCTTAAATACCACTTGAGTGATTTTAGATAGTCGGACCCTATATAGAGGATTGTCTGGTTGGACTATATAATTGGTGGATAGTAGCTGAGTGCGAGCTAACCATCTAGTATTTGGTCACCATCTGTCTAGTTCCATGGATACCATGCATCCAACGTCTTCGTGGATGGTGATCGTCCCGCATCATGGATATCATCCAACCTTATAGTGGATAGTACCATCCTAAATCATCATGGATACCCTCCAACCTCTTAGTGAATGGTGACCATCACATGTCATGGATACCATCCAACCCCAAAGTGGATGAGACCATCTCATATCATGGACACCATCCAATCCCTAAGTGGATGCTACCACATGATATTATGGACATCATCCAAAGTACTAACTGGATGGTACCATTCATGTTGAAACATGATGAGATAATGAGGTGTCTAGAGACTTTTTATGACGACCACTAACTTGCATAAAGTCTAAGCTGGAGTTACTTTTCAGGAGGAGAGAGAGAGAGAGAGATCAGTTGGACGACTCTAGACAACAAAACATGAAGCAACCTTATGGAGAAAGGGAGACAATCACCATCCAACAAACGGTGACATCTTGTCTCAATTGTTCCTTTTTCATGTTTCTCTGTAATTTGCAGAGCCATCCTCCATGAAGGATGCTCCATAATCGTAGTCTTAGTTGTAGTCGCGGAGCTCTCAAGGAATCTCCACCTGAGTAGTGTAAAGTAATTTAGATTCCCAAACACCCCGTTCGAACAGTGTTTGCAGTGGTGTGGATCATAATAATAATTGTCACCTTCATAGAAGTCAGGCGCAACTCATTCACCTATTTTTCCACCGTTAGTAATGTCTTTTAGTATTTAAAACTAGCTTTTGACTGCATTGACTACGTCTATCGAGTGTGTCGTCTCTAAATAAAATTTGTTTTTTAATGGTTAATGAAATAGTGCAAAATCTAAATAACCACCCATATGAAATCGTTGCGAGACTATTCAATAATATGGGGAAATGAGGTTTACAATGTTTTCGGTTAAATCGTAGGACCACAACGATTTAGCAAAAAGGTTATGTAGATTGGGCAGTAGTTATAGGAATCGAGTGGGTATTGATTTAATTCTCTTTAGTGAGGAAAAATTCCAAAACTTGTGTGTTGGATAGCATCTCAATTAGAATCAAGGACTTAAAAGGCCTCATCCATCGAAAAAAATAAAAAATACTAGAACAAAATCAAGCCAAGAATATTGAATATCGGATGTTTGATCTCTCTACATTTTGAATTCCATTCCATCCTGGGAAAGCTCGAAAAATAAAAACCATATACGAATTTTCACCAGAAAGTTCGAAGAAAGTAGCAAACATGCATTAAACATCATCATGCACCCGAGACCTGACCGAGACCAGCCCTCCAGCTTAGTTCTTCGTTCAAGTGGGAGGGGTCAATGAAGCAGTAGAATTCGGTCAACTTCTTCTTGCGTCACTCCTGACCACATAAAATAAAAAGCAAAAAAATAATAACTCATTTCCCCAGCCACGCACTATAAATATCCACTGCCACCAACTTTGAACGTAATTACAATTACACTCAGGAAACACATTAACCCACCTAGCATGGATAAAGGGAAGGAAACCAAGAGAGCCATGAACGACGCCGCCGCCGCCGTCGACCACCAGGAACTGAAGTACCGCGGCGTCCGGCGGCGGCCGTGGGGGAAGTACGCGGCGGAGATACGGGACCCGGCCAGGCAAGGCGCGAGGTTGTGGCTGGGGACGTACGACACGGCGGTGGAGGCCGCACGTGCGTACGACAGAGCCGCATTTAACATGAGGGGACACCTCGCCATCCTTAACTTCCCCAACGAATATTACTGGCAGGTGATGAGCCCCACGACTCCACGTCCTCCTTCCACGTGGGACAAAGCTGGCGGAGGAGGGAGCAGCAGCTCGTCGTCGTCCGCCGGGGCGACGATGAGGGGCAACGGCGGCGGCGGAGGGAAAGAGAAGCAGCAGGTGTTTGAGTTCGAGTACTTGGATGACAGCGTGCTGGATGAGCTTCTGGAAAACTCGTCTGAAGATGAGAAAAAACGACGATATCAAGGATAACTGACGACGACGTTTCAGAGTTGACTACGTAGTATGGACTATTTTAGTTTGGTTTCTGTAGCTTATGTAGAATTTTGCTTCATGTACAGTGAATAATACGCAGAACTATGGTGGTTATAGCAAAACATTTTTTTTTAGCTTAATGTACGCTTAAAAATAACGTCGGGGGAAAATGCAAATGTGCGAGAATAAAATCTTGGGTGCTTCTTTTAATTTAGGGGGGATGGATTCGAAGATGAAAATATTTTGTGAAGAATCTCATTCGTTGCCGCGCATGGGGGGGTGATTATTAATGAGAATGCTGATGCTGATGATCAAGAGATTGAGGATATAAAGGGTGCTGGGAGGTCTATGCTTGATTCCAAAACGAATAATATCATCTTAGCCTCCTAAGTTTATAGGCACTAATCACTTTGGTATCGGTTGACCACTAATCGTTTTGACGAGTAATGATTAAGCAAAGATAAAAATATACACCGAAAAATTGTTCAGAATATTAGACTGCTAAGTTACGAAAAAGATGGGGAAGAAGCATAGGAAAAGGAACAAATTTTTATGAAAATATTTTCTTATACGAATGAATGTATTGAAAATATGAATGTTGTTTAACTTATTACCTCCTTTTTTAGTTCGACCTTGATTCTAAATCCACTTTTAGTAACTTTCGTATATCGTTTTACTTTTGTTGAGTGAACCACCTATTGTCCGAATGAATGTTGTATTAGTTGTTCAACAAAAGTTGGATGAACTTGATGATGTTGTTCCATAGGTATAGTAGTAGCATTGACAAATTCACGTACAAAAAATAATATAGATATAACCCTATAGTTCTGACGACAAATTTAATTTCCTATTAATACGATAACTTTATAAACATAATTAAAACTTTTCATTCGCTGCGAAGCGTAAGCGAGCGGGTCCTTGCTAGTATATTTAGATGGACCAGGAATTGGAAACAGGGGAGCTAGAAGATTGCATACATCTCAGCGTCTTATGGGAGCTCCACCTTTCTAGAGCAATTTGGGTGGTGGCTTGCTGAGGATGGTAATTACAAATACTTCCATTCAATTTTTTTTTTAAAGACAGAGGCAAACCCTTATTTGAAGAGACCATTAAACAGTTCTAATTATTATCCAAAACTATTATCCATAAAGCATTCAGTGACATGTGACTTTAGTACCTCAACCCCATCCACTCTCTCTCTTACTTTATTTTAAAACTCGTTTCTCTACCCTCTCTTCTCGGTTTCATTTCCTAAGTTTTCCAGAGGCTTTTGCTGGCTCCTTTTGGTGACCGGCGGCAGCTCAAGCCCCTCCAGTGCTCTTTGTCCCCCCATTTGTGCTCATGCTTCTCCTGGTTGTGTTCTATGTGATTTTCCTTCGGATTTCCAGTTCTTCTTTATCCATTATGGCCTCCCCTTTGTGTTCGTGTTGCTGGGTGAGCCGTCCGATCGTGAAGGGTAGAGTCTTCCCCGGCGGTTGTGGTTGGAAATCGGTGTTCTCCGTGGAGATTTGTGGCCCCTCCTCTTCAAACCCGATGTCACTGCCTCGACTTCCTCTGCCTCTTCAGTTTGGAGCAATCCGTTTCATATCCTCTTCCACCGCCATGCAATCTTGTTTCTTGGATTCACTGTGATGGATGCTTTTGAGTTATCCCCATGAGGCTGGTTTGATGTCATCACTAGCCATGGATTTCGATATGATCGGACAAGCTGATTTTATTCTTGTTGCATTCTATTTGGTTTGTTGCAAGAGAGATTTCTAATGTTTTTCTTTTCATTCAAGAGTTTTGTTCTGTTGGATGGCTGCTTTCATTCTGCTTTGTGTTCTCTGTTGTTGCTTTCATGGTTTGATATTAACCGAGTTTCCTTGGCTTTCCTCTTGTTGAACCATAATGTTGGTTTTGTGTCTCTCTTTGTAACTGACTAGTTAAACTGCAATAAAGACTCTCCTTTGTAAAAAAAACAGGTGGACTGTCTGCCTAGGAAGCGATGGAAGGTGAAGGTCGGCGAGGTCGATGCTGCTGCTGAATCGTCGAGCAGAGGATATGTGAAGCGGCGAGGTAGAGGAGATGTGCCTCCCGTCGCTTCTCTAATTCATCGACGAACAACTGAAATCGGAGGAATTGGTGAAGCTCGGCGCTTCCCCCCGCCTCCGCTAGCAAGCCTTCCCAACACACTTTTCTTCCCTACTTCTTCGATTCTGCAAAGCAAAACCTCCCAACAGTCCACCTGTTCTAATTTCTAGGGTATCAGTTCTGCGCCTCCCCTGCTCATCTTCCTCATTGTTGGCTGCTGTCGGAGCTGGTTCCCGGAATCCCTCTACTGTGGAGGTAACGAGGGATCTCCTATTTTCGTCGGTGATGGTGATTCTCTTCTTTCGTTTGAAATCGATGAGGACGGCAAGGTAGAGGAGCTCGACGAACGGAGGGATTAAGAAGATTTGGGGTTTTTCATAATTTTTTATTTTGTTTTCCTTATTTTAATTATTTTAGATGGAAAAATAAATGAAAATTCCACGTCAGATGCCACGTCAATGCTGACTGGATTTTCTGTTAAATACTAACGGTCAACACTAACGGAATGATAGTTCAGGACACAGATGGAATATTGAAAACAATAAGATACATGTGGCATTTTTCGGATAGTTCACGTGTTGTAGTGGTATTAGCCCTAATATTTTTTCTCATATGTGTTTCAAAATTTCAGGTAGTGTCCGGGACGTACCTTAATTATATTGTAAGTGGGTCCGCCGCCACTGTAGGCATGTTACATATTTTGCAAGGATGCTGACTGATTTGAGGAAGCGTAGAGGAGGATGTACCGCCACCTTGAGTAGTAGGAACACTGTCGTAACGCATAAGAAGGGGTGGAGGGAGAGTATAATGGGATGGCTTCCGGGACTCTCCCTATCTCGAGGTTAAATTACGTACAATGGTTAATCGATATCGAGAATTAGGACGTGTCTAATTCAGAATAGATGATCTATGGTTTTAGTGTTTGAATATTGATGACCTCATTTATTAAGTAAATGGTTTTCAGATTTATCCAACTTCAATTTCATATTGCTTTACTTTCTTAAGAGGATGTGTGTTAGTAATTGATATAAGATATATTATTGGACTTCTCCCAACAATTCGAGTTATTGATATTAAATGGTTCTTGACAAAGAACATAATTCTAAAGTGAAATGACTAACTAAATCATAAATAATTGTTTGGTACAAAGAGAATTATATTTTATTATAGTTTTGACAACTAATGTATTTGATTTACCAAAATTTCCAAGTATAAGATTATTCATAAATGATTAAAAAGGTTAGTGAAAAAATGGTGAAGTTTTAGTGAAAAAAATGTGTTGTATTTAGAGGCACAATTGAAAGAAAAAAAATTTGTTGGTGGTAGAAATAGCCATGATGAAGAATTGAGAGGGGCTGAAAGTGAAGTTTGGTTTTTTTGGATTGCTATTCGTCGCCCTAAAAATTCTTATTTGTCGCCCTAATTAAGTTAATTTTATTCTAATACCCTTAGTTCAATAAAGTTAAACTAATCTGTTTCCTAGCTCGTTCTAAGCTCGCAGAGTGCAGTTGGTTTCCTATTGCATAGCGCATGTTTGATCCTATTAGCTCATTTCCATGATTTTTTTTTACAAAGGCGTTTCCATTTGATTTCTTCGCATCTGCGCCAGAATTCTGCAATGTCAGAAAGCATACTACTCAAGTGACCCGTCAATTGGAATTTGGTGAATAACTTGCGTATTGCTAAGAAACTCGGTATCCTTTTGGAGCTACAACCTACAACACTTGATGAACCTTCCTTGCTGCAGTTATCGTGTAGGAAAATTAATTGAGGCAAGAAACTTAAATAGAACGGGAGGAAGTTAAAATATGTTCGTTAGTTATCTTTTCCTTGTTTTGCTTGACCAAATGAGTCCGTTAGAGAATCGTTTGTTCTCGGCGGATCTGGAATTCTGAATTGCGCCTCTAGAGCATCGGGATCCCGACGACAATGAGCTTTCATTTTTCTATTCTAAAAGGAGAATAAAGCAAATTAACTTCTCTGCAATTGTTTGGTTTGGTTTTAGGGATAATAAAATTTTTGTTGAGGGGTAAATATGTCAATTTAATGCGTTTTAGGGCGATAAAATTTGAATTTTAGGGTGATGAATAGCGATTGAGTTTTTTTATATATATAATCAACAGTCGGATGCATCATGCATCTGCGCGCCTGGCGCGTGTGAAGCAAACCTGGGAACGACCTTCTTTCTCAGTGGACTGATGGTGGAGATATGCTGGTCTAGCAACTCTCATCCCTTTTGGATTGTGGCGGGATAAAATTGAGTGTTATACCATCTCCATCTCTAGCAATTGCTAAACTAAATGTGGTCCTTACAGCCACCTCGTCAAATTTAGCAATTTCTCTGAAAAGAATTGCAAACCACCTACATCCCTAAATTTTGTTTGCATTTGCTATTGTAAGCCCAACTACTATTTTAAGTCTATCAAAATGTTTTTTTCATTGAAAAGTTACTACTAATAAAAAGAAGAAAAAAAGCATATTCACATGTAGTATTGCTAAAGGACTTGCTAATTTAGCAATATTTCTAAATAAGCAATTGCCTCTCTATTCTTTGCATTTGCAAATTGAATTGCCACCTAGATTTTGACAATTGCTAAAGATCGATTTAGCAATGGGATGTAGATGCTCTATAGACTCTCACTTTCTAGAAACTCATTGAAATTGATCAGATGATAATTTCTTCGTGCAAAAACAAACATATATGCTTCTCACCCTTTCGAGGCGGTAGTGTCATAAAATTCCATTGTAAAAAAAAAAAGTCATAAAATTCCTCCAAAAAGTTCCTCCGCATATTAATGCGTGTTAACATGATCATTCTATTTTTGGAACTGAAAATGTTGAGGCGAGGTGAAAGAAAAAAAATGGATTTATAATGATAATGGAGTTGGAAAGCAGTTAGCAAGAAACAACGGGTTGTTTGCTTC